GCTCATGATGTCAATCACAGGATTGTCTGGTCCAGTCTCAATTATTTACAGACTGCCCCCTTATAGTTGGAATATTTCTGAGTGCGGCGCTAAACAGACAAACAAACAAAACTAACACAATTTGCATAAAAAAGTGTTTGGTCGTTGCCTGACACCACAAAGCGGCTCTCCTGCTCGTCATGGTTGGTATATAGTCAGATGTAAACATTTTTCACCTCCGAACCAATGAATTAGGGCTTGGACAAGTCCAAATTAACTACCCGGGTGCCACACACCCTATTACCCGGCCCTACCCGGATACCCGCTATAGGTCTCTAGAGTTGGGTACAAAATGTCTGAATGGGAATTGTTTTACCACAGCCCTGGCAAAAACTATTTAGATACATGATCATGTATACACTGCAGTTGATAGACCCTTTATCCTTACTCGAACATATAAAAGTCAGAACGAATGCCTGCATAGTGAGAAAGAAATGTGAACATTAGCTATACTTTTAGTGTAACATTGAGTTTTATTGTTAATGTCATTAAACAGTATGTCACATGACTAACCTTGGGTCCGGGTAGTCATGTGGGTACCCGGGTCCTACTCAGGATCCACCCGACCCAAGTACCAGAGTTACCCGTCCCAGCCCTACAATCAACCCACACAATGTTGTGTAAAACTAGAAAGTTTCTGATATCCTACATAAAATACAGCAAACATTATGTAAACCATAGAATGGTGACCTTGTGTACAGCATTCCCTGACCTCCAGGTGTTAACTGGTATCTGGGGCTAAAATAGTACAGGGTTTTCAAAGGTCGGGTTATCAGAAGAAAACAACTTCAAAATCGTGGAAACGGTTTCTCTTGTTCTCCCTGTTCTCTTGTTACTTGAAAATAAATAAAAACAACAAAACCCTTTCCATAAACGTTAGGACTAAGAGCCAATTGTACAATTCTGACTATTATGTATTGTAGCATGTATTTATGAATCACTATCATATTTTTATCATACCTACATCCATCAATGTATCAAGTTCCAAATATATTTAAGCTTAATGAATTAATGTCTTCTATAAATATTAATGTACTGAAGCCCCTGACAGCGTATATATTTCATGCAATGAATTTTAGAAATGATAAGATGACCTAAACAAGTAGAGATCAATATGTCTACGCACTATCCACAAAGATATGTACTATAGGCCTATGGCCTTTCAGTATTTCTGTACTAAAGATTGATTGATTGATTGATTGATTGATTGATTGAATGAATGAATGAATGAATGAATGAATGAATGAATGAATGAATGAATGAATGAATGAATCACAATCAAATGGTGATGATATCAGGTGTTTATGTAAAGGTGATCATATCCTGCTCCACCCAATTCAATTGTTCACCTGAACAAAACACAGGAATATTGTATGGTACAAGTCAAAATAGGGAATTGCATCAGAATTGGGAATTTTTGTCACTAATGCGTCAAATTTGGAAATGTCTTCAAATGTCAACCATAACATGTTTTGAAAGATTGTTAAGTCCTTGAATGTAATGTTGCCCTAATCAAACAACTTTTGAGCAAGAGTCGGATGAAGTTCTTTGAAGTATTCGTAGAAAGAGCATTCTCAGTTGTGCCTCAAAAGTTGTGAAATATAGACACCAAAGGCTGGAGCTTCTGGAATGTTACAGTAAAGCCAAACTAGTCAGGTACACCTCTCCTTGACACCAGGGGAGAGACATAAACAAATGTCATCATCATGCCTCTAGTTTCTGACATTGAGAGAAAGACAACCATGCTTATGTAGCAGGGCGTGGAGTCATCCCACAGATGACATCCTTACCTTGTCAGATTGCTGACGGGGTTAGCCTCTTTGGTCATGGTGTCCGACCTCGGATCAGAAGGTCCGTGGTTCGAATCCCATCAAGGGACTCGGATATTTTATGGCCACTACACTTACAGCAAGGGAGTGAATGCTGGCCATATCAGGATTGTAAACAATAGGTCACAACCATTCCAGTGAATACACTGTACCATCAGATTACAATGACATCCACTCATTTTAACCGTCATGACAAGTAGTGAGTGGATGTTTGTTAGTTTGTTTGTTTGTTGTTTAACACCACAATCACCAATATTACAGTTATATGACGGTGGCCTGTAAATAATCGAGTCTGGACCAGACAATCCAGTGATTGATATCATGAGCATTGATCCATGCAATTGGGATACGATGACATGCATCAACCAAGTCAGCGAGCCTGAACACCTGATCCCGTTAGTTGCCTTTTACGACAAGCGTAAGTTGCGGAAGATCAATTCTAACCCAGCGATCTTCACAGGGTTAACTGACATTACAAAACACCTATTTGGTAGACCTATTCTACCCTGGGTCTGCACGGGTCAATTGTGTTAGTGGCAGGGTGCCTATTGTCCTGATTGGGGAGGTATGCTTACCCTTTTTGCAAACACCTGGTGCCATCACTGAATTTCAGTGATCCAGTCTTATGATCTTCACTGCATTGTCTTTTATGCCAAATGGAGTGAGTGAGTGAGTGAGTGAGTGAGTATGTGAGTGAGTGAGTGAGTGAGTGAGTGAGTGAGTGAGTGAGTGAGTGAGTGAGTGAGTGAGTGAGTGAGTTTGGTTTAATGCTGCGTTCTTGCATGCCCAAGGGACGCAACTCTGCACAGTAAATTGTGGCGCCTTAGATGACTGAGACACCCATAACAAGCATTGAACCCTGGGGACCCAATTTGCCACAGAAAAGCCATGGGCCTATGTATTAAAGTCATATTTGTTGAGACAAAGACACCTACGGACAAAAATTAACCTTAATTAGGGAAAAAAACAAAACGCCCAATTCACAGAGCACACAGGTTGCCTCACACGTTGCCTATGCATGTCAGGGGAATGAACTCCTAGGCAGTAGTGTATGTATTACAATAAATGAGTATATGTGTGTGGGGCTGGCAGATGACGGTTCACAGTTGGGTTAACCTGGACTCAAACAGCAAGTAGATCACCTACACTTCTGGGCCACCTGTGCTCCCTGAACACATGAACCATAGCTTGCTGTATGAAGAATCATTGAGACGAGATGTTATATGTCGACATGTGTCAAGAACTTGAACAAAGATACAGTCGTACCTCGTTTATACGGACACTTGCGTCATTTCACAATTCGTCCGTATAAACGACGTTCCGTATAACTGAAACCAGCTTCTTACTGGAAGAGTTACTTCCCTTCAATTATGCAACTTTGACCTCTGACCTCCACAGACGCCATATTTATCAAATGGGATTACATGTACAATAAACAAGTCAGTCTCAAACGTAATCCTCACGAATCAAAGGATTACCACCAGCGGAAGGATTACCACCAGCAGAAGTGTATTGTCCGGGTAAGGGAGACAATTTTGTGTGCATTTCAGTGTTTTGTGTATGAAAATGACCATCTGGTTCAAGAAACTGAATTTCCGTATATACAGGTAAATTTATATAGTAATTATTTTGTTTTGAATGAAAATCGGCCGAGAACCGAGGTTTCCGGATATCTGAAGTCCGTATAAGCGGGGCATGACTGTATGTATGTTATTGACAGACCTATATTAAATCCTACCTTTACAGATCTGACTGTTGCACACAGACTTATATTTATTTTAAAGTCAGAAAACGTACAAGTTCTATTAGCAAGCACACGAAAAAATATGTATAAACGTAACAATTATTTAATTCATAAGAAGAGCATTCTTCTTATGTTTTATGTATAATATGTATTTATTATTTTATTGTGGTTACTTATTTTAAAGCCTCATGGCTGGGTGTTACTTTTAAATCATGTGTCCCTTTTGGGCATTTACACAGCTCATGTTACGGGTGACACATAAATAAACTCTCTCTCTCTCTCTCTCTCTGTGTTGTGGCAATCATTTTGAACTTTTTATGCAAAGAAAAATGACCCTATTTTGCATCTATACATAACAAATGAAGCCATCAACATCAAATGATTTCAGCTGTGTAAAAACGCAGAGTTCAAACCAAAGATTCAGCAAACTCAAATATAGACTGCTCCACTGTCTACACTAATGATGTCATCTTCCCGAGGCAAGCATGTCCACTTGCCTATATAAAAGCCTAGTTTCTACACTAAATTGCCACATCAAAGCCACTTTTCTTGGCTTGACCCTGGCACCACCTCGCGTAGATCAAGAGTTGTGCCCCTTGTAATGAAATCACGATATCCAATCAGATCGTTGTTCTTATCTCATATAGCTTCACAAAGATGGTGACTACCATAGGCGACGACCTAGTCGATCAGATAACGAAAACATTCGCAATTTCATCCACAAAAACACAGGCAATCATTGGGGGTTTAAAGATGAAAAAAACAACATATTCATGTCAACAAAGACAGGCAGCAGTAAATCACTTTCATATGAAGGTATACCAGTCGTGGATGCTGATTTTGTTAAACTTTCTCTGATTGGACTATCGATACATATCGGATCATGAGCAAGGTATCGTGATACGTATCGGATCGCACAGTTGGTGTATTATCCCAGCCCTAGGAGAGACACTGTTACAATGTCTGCGATTTGTCGAGGTGTTAACATGACTTCTTCTTTGAATTCTGCAATACCAGAAAGCAATGTGGATGCTCATGCGAGATAGGAAAGGGCATTGATTTGTACCACTTATATTGGCCGCTGCCTGTTGGTCAAAAGCGCAAAGCTTGCTGTGCAACCCAACAATAAAATAAAATAACCAATAAACCAATAAAATTAAAACACAAAGAGTCAGACAACTCATTCAATGTAGTAAACATAGTAAATACAAGAACGAAACCAGATACAATGAGCATGAGGCACGCTGTACACCATATTTCTGTTTTTATTTTTGAAGGGTTGCAACAATTCACAGGATACTCATTTATAAGGCACAAAGAGACATGGTGACCTATGGTGACTGATAACATGAATCAGTATCTGTATAAAGAGGTTTCTCTGTACTTACCATTGACTGAGAGGTGTTCCATTGACTGAGGCCGGTTGTTGTATCTCGATGGTGGCCGGAGTTTCCTCAGCTGCCATCGGTCAATCTGGTCCAGACTGACCCGGGCGTGGACATAGTGGTCCAGGAACTCAGGGTTGTGGTCGAGGTACTCCGATACAAGGTCCTGGTTCAGGTCTGAAGGAGAAAACCATTTTAGTTATGGTCACTCTCATTATTTTCTTTCTTTTCTTTTCTTTTCTTTCGGTTTTGAAACATTTAATACGATCAACACACAACGAATGTCCCTGACCCACTTTTACAAATATGGAAACGTCACAGAACAAACCAGATGACGTCACTATTGAACTTCAATATGACGTCACCTAACAACGGGTGTGATAATGACCCGTCGTCAAACAATATGAGGGCATTATCAAGTTACAGTGGCCAGCTCATTTCTGATAACACGCGGGTGGTTTAATTATAATTCTATCCATTTCAGCTGTTAATGTCTGGGTTAATGTCGAGGTACTCTGATACAAGCTCCTGGTTCAGGTCTGAAGGAGAAACACTTTTTAGTTCCGGTCACTCTCATAATGGCACTTAGACCCGTGAAGATTCCGGGGTAGAATAGGTCTTCAGCAACCCATGCTTGCCGTAAAAGGTGACTATGCTTGTCGTAAAAGGTGACGAACGGGATCGGGCAGTCAGGCTCGCTGACATGGTTGATGCATGTCATCGATCCCAATTGCGTGGACTGATGCTCATGATGTCAATCACTGGATTTTCTGGTCCAGACTTGATTATTTACAGACTGCCGTCATATAGCTGGAATATTGCTGAGTGTGGCATAAACAACAAACCAATCAATCCTAATGGCATTTAAGCCAAATAGCAGACATTTTGGGTGAGAGTAGGAACAAGTAAGCCATATCAGATTGCCACATGGAATAACCTGTGTTCAAGTTGACAAGGTAACGGAGACATCTACAAGATTACATGGCTGCGCTTGAATATACAGTTAACCTTGAATCTCTCGATCTAGGGTACCAAACACCAATGATGAGGGATGACAAAAGTCTTTTTCATCTAAATAGCCTTGCCGCGACCTTTATCTCTTAAATCATACCTGTATACAATATAATATTCTCAACTAATTTCTATTTCCTGTCAATAAGCTGAAAAATGTATTTTTCTTAAGTCACACCTTTGATTGAAAATACACTCATTTTCCCATCTTTTTGTCTGTTTTGAAATAACCTTTAAGAACATCATTGGCTGTTTTGAAATAACCCTAGGAACATCATTGGCTGTTTTGAAATAACCCTAGGAACATCATTGGCTGTTTTGAAATAACCCTAGGAACATCATTGGCTGTTTGGAAATAACCCTAGGAACATCATTGGCTGTTTGGAAATAACCCTAGGAACATCATTGGCTGTTTGGAAATAACCCTAGGAACATCATTGGCTGTTTGGAAATAACCCTAGGAACATATCATTGGCTGTTTGGAAATAACCCTAGGAACATATCATTGGCTGTTTGGAAATAACCCTAGGAACATCATCGTTTTCAATTTTACTTCCTGCCTCTTTGCATTTTGACCATGAAAACTGGAACACACAAGAAATAAAATGGATATAGGCTAATATACACTTTAATGAGGTACACAAAATATTATAATGACATCCACAAGTATTTCTCTCACAATATCATTATTCAACCCTAAGTATTATCCCAACTGCAGGCTATAAAGATATAACCACATACATGCTCATTACTCTAGCTTAAAACTCCAGAAGGTGGAACGTTGAGGCAGGTGGCGAGTTTACATTCAAGGGATTCTCTTAAATCCTGACATGCCCTTCAGTTCACCCCAACTACCGTATTTTCATGAGTATAGTGCGCACTTTTTTCCAAAAAACACAGATGTGTAGAAGGGTGTGTGCATGATACACGTCATAATGAGTTTTGATGTTTTTTCCCCCTACTGTGAGACAGTACAGTGAACATCGGAAATACCATGTCAACAAATCCATATTGAAGTATGCAAATTAATCATGTAATTATGCTGTCTGGTTATAAAAATTATTCATTGTATATCTGGACTTATGTTTGTAACTTATTTCATTAATTTTTTTCAAAATTTATGTGGTTTTAATTAATTTCGGCAAAATTGTTATTAACAGCAAACGCGGTCAGATTACCGCTATTGGCACCTTGAAACGAACATTTAGTTGACAGAGAATGGATAGATATATCATAAATGCCATACTTTGACTGGTTAAAAGTCATATTTGTAGTAGTTTGATGATTCGATGTCAACATGTAGTTTTTGCGATCACATGTGCGGGAAACTCGACGGGGACTGGTCAAATTGTTCCATGTGAAATAAAATAACTGGCAATAGTGCTGCACTTAGGGTTATTATTATTTTTAATATATTTAGTAAAGGCTGCATTTAAATAACAAGATATTGGAATATATTATTCCTGTTAAAAATAAATAGTTTCAGATACAATTTTTCCCGATCCTTGCATCAAAATTCTTTAAAGATTGCTGTTTTACGAGAAAATTAACAAGGTAACCTTAATCCCTGGTTGTAAAACAAAAAAATAAATACAATTTGAATGGTAAATCAACATGCCTGGTGATTTTTAATCTCAAATTTCAAATTTGTACTGACCAGACTTTTATCACCCGTTTGTTTACTGGAGATCGCTGAAAGGGTACGGTGTAACTTTTTTCTGCAAATAATACTCAATTTCCCCCCCCCAAAATACTGAATCCACTAGAGGGGGGTGCGCATTATACTCATGAAAATACGGTAATCAAGATCATCCTGATCAAAAGATCATTAATAAAGCGCCACCCTAGGGCTGGGACGAGTCCAAATTTATTATCCAGGTACCCACCCCACTATTACCAGGCCCTACCCGGGTACCCGCTGTAGGTCTCAAGAGATGGGTACAAGTGTCCGATTGGGAATAGTTTGGCCGTAGCTGAACTGAAGTTGACTGAAGCTTTATCTATATTTAAACATATGAAAGCCAGAAGGAATGTGTGCATAGTCAGAAAAAAATCTGAGCATTAGTAACTTGAAGTGTAACCATGGAGTTCTTGATATTTTTTGTCATTGAACAATATATCACGTGACTAACCACGGGTCCGGTAGTCCTATGGGTACCCGGGTTCTACTCAGTACCCACCCGACCTGAGTACCCAAGTTACCCATCCTAGCCCTGCCCCACCCCGCAGCACTATGAGTTACAAGTGTCCACAGCGGTGTATGGGACTTTAAGGGCTGTGTGGGCTTGTATACTCCACAGGGAGCTGAGAATAACAATTCTCTGCACACTGATATTAACCAGGATATTAGTCAAGCAGCATCATGAGATTTCACTTGATGAGTTGAATTTGGCTCATTATAAATGGACTATCATTTTCACTGATGTTAAAAAATTACAAGACTGTGACTAGCCATTAAGATCAGGATTTTTGTTATGTATGATGATAAAGTGTTGACCATACACATACCAGTGCTGGTAATAATGTCCAATACCTACACCATATTCCTTTAGGATTATTCCTTTTGTTATTCAATATATTTTAACATTTATAACAGTATAGTGTCATGTCACTGACCTCCTAGGTGAAACAATGTCTGTTTCTGATTACTTTGATAAGGTTTGGTGGATGGGGTAATCATGTCATCAATAGTCCTACTTGATTCTGTTTAATGGAAAATGAATGTGTTTGCTTGTAGAGATATAGACATAGACCCAAAATATGACAAAGTGGGAACATGAATGTGCGTAGGAGTGGGTCAAAATAATTTCGTTTGCAAGAAATTAAATCCACGAAAACAGAAGGTAAACTGACATTGAAAGATCAGGTACTTTTTGTTTTAATTTTCTAGTAAAGTTTGTGTTGTGCAGCCAGTTGATAGCTGCAGCCTGCACCAGTTGCAGTGGAGAAATAACAATGAAATCGCACCCTGTCTGACAAGTACAAGCAGCCATGCACACGTGTGTGAGTATTGTTTTACGCTGCCTTTAGGAATATTCCAGCATGGGACACTAGAAATAGCCTCATACATTGTACCCATGTTGGGAATCAAACCCGGGTCTTGCGAATGCATTAACCACTAGGCTATCCCACCAACCATCCACGCACATGCATGCACATTGGTACATAAGTGCAATAATCATGAACGTGACATTAAAATGCATTCCACCTCGCCTAAACTCACTACAGTATCACAATAGTAATTGTAAGCCCTAACAGTTATCTCTATTGAAATGTGAAGTGATAGGGGGTGTAATAATGTGGCGACTAACGGGATCGGGTGGTCAGGCTGGCTGACTTGGTTGATGCATATCATCGTATCCCAATTATTTGGCTCGATGCTCATGATGTCAATTACTGGATTGTCTGGTCTAGACTCCATTATTTACAGACCGCCGACATATAGCTGGAATATTAAGTGCAGCGTTAAACAACAAACAAACATATTAACTATAGTAATATGAAAGAATCAGGTGTTCTTGAACTTGTTTTGAGTAGTACATACGTACCACATCCTAACATTTGTAAGTATCATATTCTAAGCTGCCAATACTAGAATACTTCTGCCTCATCAACCCTTAGACTGAAAGGTGGACATATCAGCTGTAAAGATGTCATGCTAATCATTTATAAGAATCTAGGCGATAACCAGCTACCGACAAGAACGACAAGCTAGATGTACTGCAGTAGTCCCAGGTTAGAGAACACCTAATTCTGAGTTATGAGAAGAACACTGCATTATCTGTAACTTTATATCTGGTGGTCATGACAACCAGTTAATATCATGTAGACATATTTCATGGCTCTAGTTGACTCAGCTTTGTGGTGTCAGGGTACCTTGATATGCCCTTGAACAGATTTATACCTACTTGTGACTTCACTTTGGCCAACAGGATTCCCTTTCTGTCAGGGGATGTAAACATACGAATTAGGCAGGGATTAAGATTAGTTGTGTTTGAAATTTATTTCAATCAATCTGTATTCAAGCACTTAAAGGTCATAGGCCTAGAGTATTTATATTACAGAGGTGTTACATACATGTTATTGATGTTAACCATTATTTACAAATTTGTTCCTTTACAACAATGTGTGATGTATAAAGAACCTCACCCGAGTGGCTTTTGATA